CGCACGAATAGCGATAAATTCAACGTCAGGAGAAGTGGGAAATTCAATTAAATTGGACGGGACTGACGCAGATATGGCAATTAATAAACCACCACCAATGCGATTCACTCGATCATTTCTGAAAACCTGGAAAGAATTGTGGAAAAGTTCAGACGAATGTAGACCAGGTTTTAACCAAGTTTCAGTGAAGGCCAAACAGGGGAACTCCGTGCCCACTGAATTTAGGAAGGTAGAACGAATTTTTGAATTTAGGCCTCTAACATTTTGATAAATGAGAGATAGTGAGCCTGAAGAAACATTTAGTTTCCTGAAGGCGACAGGACTACTGTTTTAGTATTACGGGGACGATCACGAGGGATAAAATTCTTTATTAAGGATCCAACTGGCCACAGTGGTTTATCTAACAACATATCAATGCTTTCAGTCGGAGCAAGAATTTTAAAACAAGCGATTGCTCTAGATTGAGACAGAGCCAATTAAAAAATACTAACCCGCTTTAGATTGAGAAGACCTTTTGTTTGTTGTTTAATTCGGTTATTTTATTTTAGGAATGTATGTTCTGCTTCACAATTGCTCAGAATAATAATTCAATAGGGAACAATATATGTGCGTGGTAGAGAAAAAAAACCAGCATAGAAAGTGTGTGATGCGTGAAGGTTTTTCTTTTCCAGAAACCGTTAAATTTCCGTAAAGCACTGTTCTAAGTGCGGTTTTCAAGAATTACTGAAAAGTACTGTTCTAGATACCGTTTTGCAAAATTACCGTAAGCAACTATTCTAGATACCGTTTTGAAAAATCCAACGATCGGAAGTATTGTTCAGCGTACAGTCACTCCAGGTTACTCAATGGATTTATTCTTCAGACGGATGATTGACAGTCCTATTGCAGGAATTAGCCAATCATCAACTTTTTGAAGGAATAATATAATATGCCTCTTTAGGCTTATATTTTAATGTTGTCAAGGAGATTTAGGAAAACTTCCATGACGTCGGCAGCAAAAACCGGTCCTTACGACTTACACCATTGTATGTGTAGAGAATAATATATAAATTTTTAAATGAATAAATTATGAATAATACACTTATCAGCCTAGAATTTAATGAAAGTTGGTCAAATGCAAAAAAAAAAAAATGATGTGAATGCGATTAAACACGACGAATATACTTGTCTTGTGAAGGATATTAAAAATTATTCGATGCAAAATTGCTTATATACAAATTATTGTGTATGCATTTATATCTTTTCTTATTTTCTATGTATTATTGTGTACATTAACAAAAATTTCCAGCCGCTGAAATGTGCCTCATTTTGCCTGAACATGTTGTGTGCTTTAGAAGATATTCTTATAAAGTTGCAAAGAATCAGCTCTTAAAATATTTAATTTATTTGAGATATGTACTGCACGTATGTAACAGTATTTATTATCTAAATAAGTTATTACGTGAACGTGTGTACACTTACACATGTCCGTACAATTAGCAGATTTTTATTCATAAACGTATGCATTCATTAAGTATTTATCGAAAATTCTAATGTTTTCAAAACCCAATGTGATGATGACTATCATTAGATTTTATGGTTATTCGTATCGGTGAACATAGGAAAGCGTTAAAAATGTAAAATTTATTAATATCATGTATACTAATGCTTATATGACTTAAGTATATGTATACGTGTATGCCTAAGCGTATAAATCTGGAAACGTTCATAAACTCAAATTTATGTACGCGTACGCAAGTGTAGTTGCTTAACAATTTTATTTCTTTTATGTATATGAATTGTGTTCACTTAATATCCAACTAGGTGGTCTCTTAGAGAAAAATGTACATATTACCCTTAGCTTAGCTACACCGTCCTTCTACATATAATACGCAAGGATTCTTCTTATGATTGTTAATGTGGTTTTACAATTGGTTTTCGAAACTAAAGCTTTTCTATATACTTAAATACATGTATGTAATGACAAACATTTGTTCCGACTACCACTGCCACTTCTATTATTACCACTTTTACTGCTACTACTACTACTACTATTTCTAGGACTACGATCATCACTTAATGGTAAATGTGAAATTCAAAATCCAATGCAATTCAATACTAACGATGTCGCGTGTATATGTAAGCTTGCGAGCGTTAATTTATTGAAAATAAAAATTGTTAATTTATACTGATGAAACTGGACACTAATGGGATATTAAACTCACCTTTCCAATATCTTTAATGTCAATACATAATAATTTATGTGTAGTTTTGTTTGTGTATTCATGAACTTCTTTACTCTTCTTAAGGATATTGACAACAATTGCTACACTGTCTTGCTCGATCGGTTTGATCGTTTTTCTGTTTAGCTAGAATACACAATGTCTTCGTGTAAGTTTTCTTCTCTTCTATATACCGACTATTAGTGAATTTGTATGTATAAAGACGCATTCTGCACGAAAGTTAAACATACATATTCCGTACTTTATTCATAGGTTGAGTTTTCTTACTTTTTAGTTTAGGATGAGAATTAAGTCGAGTTGTTAAGACATAGGGCAAGACACGTATATATATATATATATATATCTATCTATATATATTGGTATATATTGGTATAAGTACATGCAAGCATATCTAGCCGAAAGCTATGGAAACCTGTTGCTTAGCTTAGCCTTTTGTGCTTTGTAACATCATATCATATCAGACATACATATCATATGTTTAGCTAGGATGTTCACGAATGCGCTTATATATGTTTCGGTGCCTTAAAATCTTGCATTCATTGGTCATGTATAAATTTATTAATATTATTGTTATTGTGTTCTTTTCATACTTTTTTTGCGTTGTTTTTCTTCTCCTATGTTCATTTTAATTTTAAAGATTTTCAGTGTGCATAGTTTTTATGACGATTTTTGTCGATGTTATCATGAAGCGATGTACGATGCATGAATGCATGTGTGCCTTTTGCAGTATCGCAATAAAAGAAAAAAAAAAACAACGAAATCATAGGAAAACTTCTCAAAGTTCTGCAAAGTAGGGTCGCTTACAAGCTACAAACATTTATACCCGTAGTTAAAGTTCTAATATACGTAGTATTTAGTTAGCGTTCAGAAAAACACAGCTCCTGCTGTGTGGTGGTCTAAATCAATTGTGCCAAAAGATATGTTTGTAATTACGTATGTATATATGAATGTTTATGCATCTATCCATGCTGTTTCGATGCACGTAAGGATGTTTATTTTCTTTATTGTTATTTTTAAGTGCAAATCATAAAAAAAACCCAGGTGGTTTGACCTCTGCCCGTAGTACTGGACACTTCTCTATTAAAACAATTTTGATGTCAATCCTTGAATAGAATTTTTAGTTGCTCGAAGGCATTTATTATACCCAAAGCAAAGTTATTGAGTGTCGCTTCTTTTCGTTATTGCTTTTAGGCCCTTGCTTTGAAATTATTTACAGCCATAAGGTGGATCTTGCGTCTGCGACTTCTTCATAAATATATAGGTGGCGAAATGTGAAATAATTCTAGGATTGAAATGATGCATGTCCGTGTTGAATCGGAAAATTAGTTTAATTTATCAAGATTATGTCACGGTGACCGAAAATCCAATCAACCGTAGCTTTTCTCCCTTATTCGATGAGTACGTTCCACGCCCTTTACATTAACTGCTTTCATTTTCCACTCTACATAATACTTATAATAATTTTAATTGTCTTTAAGGTCTCGAATCAGAGAGCTTCACGATTTTTTCTTAGTGAAATCGCCATGTTCGTCTAGCAGAGCAATTCCTGTATTTCAATAAAATCATGCAGGCGTTATTCTCAAGAGGAAAGTTGGTAATCTCTCGTCAGACGTTTTATTTTGGTTTATTCATTTATTTATTATTTATTTGATATTAAGAAATATGTCGTCTTGGAGGCATTTTTTGAAGGATTTCAGTTTCTTCACTCCCTTTATATTTAAATGTTTGCCAAACGTTACAAGAGTGACGCCCTTGTGTCTGAAACTCTACGTGCACCGTTCTACAGAAGCAATGTGCAACATAGTTCTCTGAAGTTGTAGCGTTCGCCTCGTTAGACAATGGGCTGTGCGTTTTTCTAACACCATTGGCGTTTGCATTGAGTATTATTATATTATTTCCAAATACTTTGAGTAATTCTTTAGGTGATCTTCGATGTTTGTGGATATATGTTAATTTGCTTGTATTTATATGAATAACATAAGCAAATACAGATTATTGGCAGTCACTTAATTTAACGTTTAATGTATAATTTTTTGATAACGTATGTATGCATTTAATTTTCATGAGAATTATTAAAATAACCATATATGTGGATATAAACATTTATATGTATCTTATAAGCACAGGCAAACAGACTTGATAATTGTGTACTTCAGTGCAAAAAAGTGTAGACATCACACGAAGTGTTGGAATAAATAGCTATGCATGTGTATATTTGCTTACGTGTGTTTATGTATGTGTGTTGAGTGCTATGTATCATGGAAATTCTTTAAATTCAGTCTTAGGACATTGACTTTTCAGTTGTGGGGATACCTACCTACCTACCTACCTATGCAGCAGTGAGTGAAGTAAACGAAAGCTTCCATCTAATACATGTTTCTCTCACTTGTGCGGTCACTGAAGCTAGTTTGAAACAAGGCCTTTTCTCGCCTTACAAGCATAAAACAGGTCGTAAACAATTTTGGTATGATGGCTATAACAAAACCCGGTTTCAAACGTCATATCAAACCTAAGCTTGAAACAATTACAACGGACAAAAAAAAAAACAAAAGGCTTAAGCCAAACATAGCATACATGACAAACATAAAGAAAGAGCATGCTTGGAAGAGAGAAACACAAGAAAAATAAAGTTCAGCTTGATTAAGGAGAACAAATAGGGAAAGAGAGACCATGTGTATCTATCTAAAGTATTTTGTTGGTAAATTTTGCATTCGCGTATGTATGTGTTTGATATTCACGAGTTTGGCAATTTCTTTCTGGTCGATTGGTTGCCAGTATCAGTACGACCCTTTCCAAGTTTCCAAGCAATTGGTGTTGTAAGCGGATTATATCGTAACGCTTAAACGGTTAGTTTTGAAACAAAAAAGAGAAAAACGCTTCAAGAAACTAAGTACAGATGCTGTTTAAGATCAATATTGTTTTGTGTACAATAAATTAAAAAAAAAAGTAAGGTTTTTTGTCTCATTTGTGGACGAAATTAATTAATAAAATTTGTTCCTATGATCGTCTGACGAAAACATGAATTACTAAGAAAAATGCTTAAACAATATTTATAAGAAGAAAAAATAAGAATAAGGAGATAAATAAAATATCAAATATCACGGTGCTACTCTTAAATATTCAGCCACCTTTATATACATACGTAAATATTTTTGTGTATAACAACGATTTTTTGCTAGTTTCTTCAATTTCTTAATCACTTCATCATTGTATTAAAACGTAACAAATGCAATAGTGCGGTTTATGCGGATGTGCACGGCCCTGCAATTGTCTTTTTCACAATTTCTACGAATTTATCTTTTTTATTTCTTTTAAAGTAATTTAGTATGTTCATAATATTGTTTAATTTTTCTTCCAAAAATTTTGTTTATCTACAAATCATTAAATGAAGTCTGTGTGGATAAAAAAAAAAAAAGAAAAATAATAATAAAAAGCAAAAAAAAAAAGAAAATCATTAAGTGTAAATAGAAAACCTTTGCTAGATAAGCAAAATCTAATTTTTACATACTTAAGAAAATTGTGTGGTCACTAAATTATGTGAAACCAAACATCATATGTCGCTCGTTATCATAATACAAAACATTTAAAAAACACTTTATGGTCAAATTATGCAACGAAAACCATGATTATAGTTTATGAAGATACTTAATATATATACTTACTTAATACACATATATACAATATATACAAATATATACACATAAATATATATATATATTATACATATATATATATATATATATATCTATTTATATGTATAATATATATATATATAAATATTAAGTGTATATATTATTATATATATATAAATAGATATATGAGGAATAAAATATTCTTATTCTTATTAATATTGTTGAAAGTCAACTGATATACTGGATGATTTAATAACGTTTTGACGTCAATTTTTTTTTTTATTATTATTACACCATTGGATTATATGTCATGTACTTATTGTGAGACGGTAAGTAAAAATTAAAATTAAAAAATTTCTCTTTATTTTTAAAAATTTTAGTTTACATATATATATGAGATACAAGAACATACAAGATATCAAGTTCATTGTTGATTGTGTAATAATTGCTTAAGTACTAATAATGATTACATATTAAATTTCTTACCGTAGTGAAGGTAGGCCACCAAGATACCCCACCATTATAAGGTGCAGATGAAAATTAAAAAATAATAGGAATCAAGCATGTATAAAACAAACTAAGCGCCTAATTACGATGGAAATATCGAAAAAGCTAAGTTATTGCTACTAAATCTCAGTACAAAGGCTGAAAGAGCGCAATGTCCAAATCAGGTTGTAATAATTTTCAGGGACAATACGTAACCCCAGATTTTCGATCCGCGAGCCGCGACCGTCATTTGTCACCAACAGCGAAACATCCGAATACTAGTTTTTACGATTTGTTTGTGTTGTTATGTTAAGAACTGCAAATTATTTACAATGTCTCCGCAGCGGAGACCTCGAGTTTGAAGACCAATTTTAAATGGTTCCGCTGCGGAGCCCTCGAGTGCAAAGGGTTAATTATGAAAAATTTGAAGGAAATTGTGCAAGTGAAATTTTTTATATGTTTTAGTAAATGTCTAAACCTATCAGAAGAACCCATTTTCATCATTATGTGAATGCTCTGTCACTCACAAAATCGTCCCAAACACGCCCTCCTCATATATATATAAAATAATAAACCAATTATAAGGGTAGAAATGTGTGTTACGTACAGTGGGCTAAGTTCAAGGATATAACTGAAAGAACAAAAATGCTCATATTGTTTTGGTAAATTTATTGCCAAAGGAAAGACGATTATAAGATTTTTAAGATTCTCTTAGATTTCATCAACCTTGTTCTTTTTTAATAAGAAAAAAAGTCAACAACAACAGTGCAAAAAATTAAATTTTTCTATCGGATTTGTAGCCGAATGTAAATCGTAATAAAAACTTAGTTAAAACGCCCCCTTACGCTTAAATTTTCAAAAAATTTAAAGAAAAATAATGAAAAATAAAATCAAATTCGCAACAATTGGCATGAATCTGCGTATTTAGTAAACTCCGCCAAAATTCTGCAAGTAATTGCAAATATCTTGAACAGCAACTTGGAAAGTGTGTGCCTGATCGCTCAGTGTTATTCCTTCTGTCGAGCTGCGACTACATACCAATCCAAATTAAATTATAGTCTGCCGCATTGAATATTGAACCTAAATATGCCGACTTGATAGTCGCACTTCTTAACAACTTGGCTACGCGATAACTCCTACTCAGTTACATTCAGTTGCGAAGTCATCAAATATCATGCGAAATCTATTAGATCCTCTTTCGATGCATTTCCTTACCTAGCGTTTTATGTGAAATATATCAATCTTTATGCATCAAGTAAGAACTCTTGAAATGACAGACATACATACTCCGTAGATTAGTAGAAATAGATTAGTACGGAAGTAGAAATCAATACACTCAAGTTCAAGTCCATACGTATTCATAAAAGTTTCCTTAAGTAAACAATTAGTAGCCTCAATTTCTTAGCGTTTTGAAATCTGTAGAATTTTTAATTTTCCATTCGCCTGAGCGGCCGGATAGTCCAAGAATCTCGACTCGAATGGTCGTGGATTCAAACCGCAAATGTGGTAGAGTTTTCAATAAAGCCGATAGCCTCATATGCTAGTGCTTTAAGACAACTTTCTTGCATCTTGATCTATTACAGCTACTAATGAGCAGAGAGTAAGCCAATTAACAAAAGCTGACTCGCTTATCTTTCATTTCAATATAATTTACAGAGAAATTGTCAGTGATTATAAACCGGGTCCATTAGGATTCTTATAAAACCACTTCATGAAACCCGCTCTTTAGTGCTAGGCCACTTAGCAATATTGCCGCTAATTTTTACGTATTTAGTTACTTTAAATGCTGCCAACAACCGTATGCAAACATATTGTGTTCAAACTACGCAGGTTAAAGCGTTTGCGTAATGTTTAAAGACAATTTTTAAACGCCCTATCGAACGATAAAGATATACTAAATGAGTGCTCCGTTTCGTAGCATTCGCAAATAAACAGCTGAGGCTCAAAAAAATGCATTGATTGTTAATCAGTGTAAGAGTCTAAGTCGGATTAACGCTTCACGTTCGTTCGTCCTTTGGAAATGCCTACTGTGATAGAAGTTGAAATGAAAGCCTGATCCATCCACAATCACCGATACCTATAATTGTACACTATGAAACTGCAGAGCGGATACTTGTATGAAATTTTGAAAAAATATTTAATGGAATCATTTAAAGCCTGCATACGATTTAGATGCAGAAAACAATAAACTAAGAAACTGTAAGGTGGACTTTATAAAAATATTGACCAAAGAGCTGATAATCTCTTCTAGATCAACCTACTGGCACACTTGCATTTAATGAAATGGTACGCACTTCAAAATTATGGGTTTGAGTATTAGGACGTGAAAAAATTTCATTTTAAGGCGGATGTTTGCTTTCTTGTATTATGAGAAACGTTTCAGCGAACATAATTTTTATTTCGAAAATTTTGTTGTTTATTACTGTTATAATAATTTAGACATTTACCGGCAATATAAAACAATATTTGCTGTTGTTTATCACTGTAAACATTTCGAGTAAAAATAAAGATAATAACGATAATAGAACAAATTAATAAAAAAGAGAAAAAAAAATTAAACAGAACATCCGGACTTAATCGCGAAGATCCGACATTTTTTTTGTTACCTAGAAGCGATACGAAACTTAAACTCAATGAGAGGAAGTTTGTTTATATTTAGAAAATGTAATTTCTTTTCAACTGTTCATTAAAGATATTTAAAATTATTGTCGTTAAATATATGCCTTGTATGATAAAAAAATTAAAAAGCAGCTTCCAATATTACGTTGTATTTATCTCCGCGCATAAATTTTGAAATTCCATTAAATTATTCATCTTGCAATTTTGTTGAACGACAGCAACCAAACACATTGCCTGGTTGTATAAAAATTTTCAATAAAATGACGCGTATAGTAGGTTAATATAAACGCTAAATGTATGAAAACAAAACATCTGTCGCCTAAAATGATTGTAATAAACCGATGGCAATGTTGCCAATGATGGTAATAAACCGATGGCAATGTTGGCAATGGTGGCGGTAAGGGTGATGCATTACATTGATACACAAAACCAGCAACAGCAACGGCAACAGCACCAACAACGGTATCGGCAGCAACAGTGATGGCGACGAACGACCATACGTACGTTTTCAACCAGTTGAAAAATCTAAACGGCCTTGCCTGACCCACTTAAAACGTATGATTGTTGTTGACAAATGTTGTATAACAAAAACGAAAAAAGCGAGAAAAAAACAAATACTCAAAATGAACAGTAGCTAAAACTACAACGCACCACCAAAGTAACGGTAGAAATTTATCTTTGTTGCGATCGTTGCTGTTGTTGCTATTGCCGTTGACGTTTCTGTTCGAATAATCACACGAATTGAATTGAATTGTAATGCGACTACACATTAAGCGACAAAAACAACAACACCAAATAACCACCTACTTATGGAGAGAATTGTATGGAGATCTCATCGATTGCATGATTGAAGTGAACATATTACAAATAAGAATCTGGTGAGACAACTTTTCATAAGCCATAAGCACACTCAACTCACACAAGTACACGCATGAACACACATACACAAAAGCGCACTTTGGCTTATTTATTCATTTTTTACGAATCAAATCAAACATTTTTGTTTCTTATAAATAGTGGCAGTGATAAAAAAAATCCATTTTCAATTAAAAAAAAGAATAAAAAAAAAAAAAAATACTCTGCGATATGCGTGTGTGTTCTGTAAGTTTTTTTTAAATAAATTTTTTCAATCACATATTTTTAACTTTCAAGTTTTTAGACCATTTGCATAAATTATCGCCTATCGTCAATAGCATATGGCTTGAATAAATTAATTTATTCGTAACGTACGAAAGAACACGTATGCTAGAAATATCACAACACAAACTCATTTAAATACGTAATACGTATATAAAGAAATACTTCGAATCACCGACAGCCGATAAAAAGAAAAAACAAAGAATTTTAATTAAAAAGTCGTTAAATTCCATTCAATGAGTATCTGTACGTGTGTAATATAGTAACTTAATCGAAGATGTTTATTTACTTTATGAGAATAAGGTTCACTTTATCTCTTTTCTGTTTCCCATTACTATTTGCCTTTTCTCAGAGCAACTTATCGCCTAAGGTTTAAGGGTGCGTACGTAAAGAAGCTTTAAATGTGTAATTTACGCTATTCGATTAATTGTTATATCTATTGACATTTTGCATGACATCTTTCACTCTAATGCAAATGAAATTCAGTTAAGAAAAGATCGACAAAATGAATAGAGAAAAGAAAGTAAAGAATCTCCTCACAAGTCAATGAACTCATTTTAAAGAAGAAATTAAAATAAAAACAATTTTACGGTTTACAACAAATAATAAAAAACAAAAATGCATTGAATTGAAGTCATAAAAGTGATGAGAAAATACATCAGCAGTTAGTTTCAGTGCATTTGATTTCATCATTATCGTCAATTCACACAGACAACTCCTACTAAAGTGTCAATCGTTCGGTATTAGCATAATAATTAAAATCGCAAAGAAGCTTAGACTTTTGTGATAGGTAATCAATTGGCCTTTACTTTTAATGTTATAACTTTTTGACTATGAAACAAAATCGAAAGAAAAATGCTGGCATTAGTTTCTATTTTTTCAAAGGTGAACCAATGTCGCAGTTATTTATGGTAACACATTAAATGACAAAGTTTTGCGTGCATAACTTAAGCGCATTACCTATTTGATTTTTTTTACGAATATTTAATTAAGGCTTGTGTTGTATTTAGTAAAACGGTACTACAAATGGAAATATGCGTTCATTGTCAGTTAAAAAAAAAAAAATGAGTTAAGAAAATTTCGTAAG